GCCTCCCAAAGTACTGAGATTACAGGCATGAGCCACTGGGCCCGGCCAAGAAGTTGCATATCTTATAGTTCTTATGCAGAGTCATGGGTGAGAGAAAGTCTTAGTCCACATTTGCGTGACACTAGGTCACTGTAGGTGTCACCCACTGATTTTCTGATATCATACATTGTTATTTTTTCTTTATTAAATTGATGGTAAAATACACATAACAAAAAGTTAACCATTTTAAGCTGGGCACAGTGGCTCACGCCTATAATCTCAGCACTTTGGCAGGCCAAGGTGGGCAGATCACCTGAGGTCAAGGAGTTTGAGACTAGGCTGACCAACATGGTGAAAACCCATCTCTACAAAAATATAAAAATTAACCAGGCATGGTGGCAAGTGCCTGTAATTCCAGCTACTCAGGAGCCTGAGGCAGGAGAATCACTTAAACATGGGAGGTGGAGGTTGCAGTCAGCCAAGATTGCACCACTGCACTCCAGCCTGGGTGACAGAACGAGAACACATCTCAAACAACAACAAAAAAGTTAATCATTTAAATGTACAATTCAATGGCATTAAGTACATTTACAGTGTGTTGCAACCATAACCATTATCTAGTTCCAGAACTTTTTTATCACACCAAACAAAAACTGCATATGCATTAAGCAATAATTCCCCACCTCCTACTTTCCCTAGTCCCTGGCAATCACTAATCCACATTCGGTCTCTGTGAGTTTGGCTACTCTGGATATTTCATGCAAGTGGAATCATACGATATGTGACTGGTGTTGTCTTCCTTCCTTCTCTCCTTCCTTCCTTCTTTCTTTCCTTTCTTCCTTCTTTCCTTCCTTTCTTTTTTCTTTCATTTTAGAGACAGGATCTCGCTTTGTTGCCCAGGCTGGAGTGCAGTGGCTCAATCATAGCACACTGTTAACCTTGAATTCCTGGGCTCAAATGAGCCTCCCATCTCACCCTCCTGAGTAGCTAGGACTACAGGTGTGTGCCACCACATCCAGCTAATTTAATTTGATTTAATCTTTTTGTTTTGTAGAGATGAGGATCTTGCTATGTGACTCAGGCTGATCATGAACTCCTGAGCTCAAGCAATCCTCCTACCTCAGCTTCCCAAAGCTCTGGGATGACAGGCGTGAGCCACCACATCCAGCCCTCTTTTGTTTAGCGTCATGTTTTCAAGGTTCATCCACATTGTAGCGTATATCAGTGCTTCATTCTTTCTTATGGCTGAATAATATTCCATTGGATGGATAAACCACATTTTGTTTATCCATTCATCTGTTGATGGACATCTGCGTTGTTTCTACCTTTTGGCTATAGTGAGGAGTGTCTCTATGAACATTTTTGTTTGAATACATGTTTTCTCTGTACATCTTTGGCCCCATATTCTCCTCTTGGAGGTCAAGGACCCTATTTCCTTAGCCATTTAATCTCCTTGGTAGGGGCTCGCATGTTAGCAATTATGAGGATGTGTCATAAGATGCAATCTTGGCCACGCACGGTGGCTCAGGTCTATAATCCCGGCACTTTGGGAGGCTGCGGCAGGTGGATCACCTGAGGTCGGCAGTTCAAGACCAGCCTGGCCAACATGGCAAGAAGCCGCACATTTACTAAATATAAATTTCAAAAAAAATTAAGCAGGAGGTGGGGGTGAGATGCAAACCTGATAGATAAACCAAGCTACCTTGGGACCACTGGGAGAAGCAGGAGAGAACGCTTTGAAACCCCAGGAGGTCAAGAGATATGAAGATGCGAGAGATATGCCACTGTAACAACCAGCCTGGATGACAAGAGCCAATATTTACCATCACAAAAAAAAAAAAAAAAGAAAAAGAAAGTAGAAAGAAAGAAAAAAAGAAAGAAAGAGAAGGAAGGAAGGAAGGAAGGAAAGAAAAAAGAAAGAAAGAAAGAAAGAAAGAAAGAAAAAGAAAGAAGAAGAGAGAGAAAGAAAGAAAGAAAGAAAGAAATATGTAATCTTGCCTAACAGGTACAATAAAAGATTGCCAATGTATACATGTGGACATGTGTAAGGGACAGTGGTGAAGATGTTCCAGCTGTTGTGGGAGCTCTAGGGGAAGGTGAGAAAGCTATCAGTGGGAAAACTGGCAGGGGCAGAAATGACGGGATGGGGAAATGGTGCGGAGGATCATAACTGAGGAATGACCATGACTGCACTATTTCAGGAGTGGACAAAATGGAGACAAATTCCTCTCTCCCCACGAACATCTCTGGAGGGCCACCTGCTGTAGCTGCTGGCTATCTCTTCCTGGATATCTTCACTTATCTGGTATTTGCAGTCACCTTTGTCCTCGGGGTCCTGGGCAACGGGCTTGTGATCTGGGTGGCTGGATTCCGGATGACACACACAGTCACCACCATCAGTTACCTGAACCTGGCTGTGGCTGACTTCTGTTTCACCTCCACTTTGCCGTTCTTAGTGGTCGTGAAGGTCATGAGAGGACATTGGCCTTTCGGTTGGTTCCTGTGCAAATTCATCTTTAGCATAGTGGATATCAATTTGTTTGGAAGTGTCTTCCTGATCGCCCTCATTGCTCTGGACCGCTGTATTTGTGTCCTGCATCCAGTCTGGACCCAGAACCACCGCACCGTGAGCCTGGCCAAGAAGGTGATCATCGGGCCCTGGGTGATGGCTCTGCTCCTCACATTGCCAGTTATCATTCGTGTGACTACAGTACCTGGTAAACTCGGGCCAGGGACAGTAGCCTGCACTTTTGACTTTTCACCCTGGACCGATGACCCTGTGGAGAAGCGGAAGGTGACCATTGCCATGTTGACGGTGAGAGGCATCATCCGGTTCATCATTGGCTTCAGCGTGCCCATGTCCATCGTCGTGGTCAGTTATGGGCTTATTGCCACCAAGATCCACAAGCAAGGCTTAATTAAGTCCAGTCGTCCCTTGCGGGTCCTCTCCTTTGTCGTAGCTGCCTTTTTTCTCTGCTGGTTCCCATATCAGGTGGTGGCCTTCATAGCCACAGTCAGACTCCATAACATATTACAAGGCCTGTCCAAAGAACTTAGAATTGCAGTGGATGTGACAAGTGCCCTGGCCTTCTTCAACAGCTGCCTCAACCCGATGCTCTATGTCTTCATGGGCCAGGACTTCCGGGAGAGGCTGATCCACTCCCTGCCCGCCAGTCTGGAGAGGGCCCTAACCGAGGACTCAGCCCAAACCAGTGACACAGCTACCGATTCTACTTTACCTTCTGCAGAGGTGCAGTTACAGGCGAAGTGAGGAGGGAGCTGGGGACACTTTCGAGCTCCCAGCTCCAGCTTTGTCTCACCTTGGGTTAGGCTGAGCCACAGGCATTTCCTGCTTATTTTAGGGTTACCCACTCATCAGAAAAAAAAGCCTTTATGTCCCCTGATTTCGGGAGAATAAACAGATATGCGTTTATTATTGACTTCTTTTTTGATTTTGGACCTCAGCTTTGGGTGGTCAGGATGGGAAATGATAGGAAGAAGCTGTCATCTGCATCCTAGTTTGCCTGAGATGAACCCGAATATACCCATTATGATTAGTCCTGAATTATGAGTAGTGAATGATACCCTCATTCTGGCATAATGCTGAGTAGTGTCCACTTCCATTCTGAAAAGTGCCCTGCTATGAAAAATAAATTATGTAGTCATCCTAGGTAAATGGAGGAGGAGGGAGAAGTGTGAAAGAGTATGGCTAAAATCAGGCAAGATATACAAGAAAATACTTCATATATGCCAAGTCCAGTGGCTCACACCTGTAATCCCAGCACTTTGGGAGGCCGAGGCAGGCAGATCACCAGAGGTCAGGAGTTCAAGAACAGCCTGGCCAACATGGTGAAACCCTGTCTCTACTAAAAATACAAAAATTAGCTGGGCGTAGTGGCAGGCTCCTGTAATCCCAGCTATTCAGGAGACTGAGGCAGGAAAATCACTTGAACCCGGAAGGCAGAGGCTGTAGTGAGCCAAGAAAACGCCATTGCACTCCAGCCTGGGTGACAGAGTGAGACTCCGGCTCAAAAAAAAAAAAAAGAAGATACTTTATATAAAGTCCTCAGCCTTTATTGATCAACAACTCAGTAAAAATAAAAAGTTATGGAGATGTCAGTTGAAGACCCCTCATCCCCTTGAGGTCTACCTGATTGCCTAATCTTTTACATCATAAATTTTGGGAAACAGATTGTCCTCCCCACAAGGGAGGGCCCCCAGAGCCTATGTTTTTACCTGTGGCTCTAAGTCTTGCTTCAACTGAGTTAGTCCAATTCATACAATGTCTGGTGGTTGCTGCCCTGAATGAAATTAACCCAGAGAGGAACTCAGACATTTCCCTCAATTTCCTGAAAAGCTACCTGCACAAGGTATTTAAATATGAAACACGCTTTACAGAAAGAAGCTTGGCAATGTGAGAGTAGGCAACTGGCCAGCAACAAACATGAAAGCTTTCCGTTGAACTTAAGACATCCTTTTAAAAGTCCACCCTCCCTCCTATCTCCTCACCTTCAGATTTCTGCTTTTTTTTTTTTTAAACGCGGAGAAATTTAGTCATCCTACCCTTGACTCTGACTCTATCCCTCAGGTCTCCTTTCCCAACTCAAGTCATTTATCTATAATAGCATCCTCCTTAAGAAGATTTCTGGCACCAGCTCTTTTTTTTTTTTGAGACAGAGTCTCACTCTGTCACCCAGGCTGGAGTGCAGTGGCACGATCTCAGCTCACTGCAACCTCTGCCTCCTGGGTTCAAGTGATTCTCCTCCCTCAGCCTCCAGGGTAGCTGGGACTACAGGCACACGCCACCATGCCCAGCTAAATTTTTTGTATTTTTAGTAGAGATGGGGTTTTGCCATATTGGCCAGGCTGGTTTTGAACTCCTGACCTTGTGATCCGCCTGCCTTGGCCTCCCAAACTGCTGGGACTACAGGTGTGAGCCACAGCACCCCGTCAAGAAGATTTCTGTTGCCAGCTCTTGAAGCAATCATTTAATTACCATTACAGACATCTTTTTTATTTTATTTTATTTTATTTTATTTTATTTTAAGACAGAGTTTCACTCTTGTTGCCCAAGCTAGAGTGCAATGGCGTGATCTCAGCTCCCTGCAACCTCCACCTACAGGGTTCAAGCGATTCGCCTGCCTCAGCCTCCAGAGTAGCTGGGATTACAGGCATGCATCACACCCGACTCATTTTGTATTTTTAGTAGAGACAGAGTTTCTCCATGTTGGTCAGGCTGGTCTCAAACTCCCTACCTCAGATGACCTGCCCACCTCAGCCTCCCAGAGTGTTGGGATTACAGGCATGAGCCACTGCGCCCAGCCATCATTTTATTATAAACAAGAAACAGAAGAGAAAAGGAGAATGAATGGAAAGAAGAGAGATGAAGGAGTGGCCTGGAGCATCCAAAGTTAACCTACAGCAGAACCTGTCTTTGGGTGAGGAGCTGGGTGATGAGGGCTGATTTCATTCCAGTGCAAGGGGAGATTCCTGAGTTTTGATGACATGATGTGGTCCTTGGGAATCTAGCTCATCTCTGGACTCCCATGATGGTTTTTTCTGCACACCTCCCATGAAGCTCTGCAAGCTTTACTCATCAGCATCCAATGCATTTATTTAATCTATGCCACTGACCCCAGAGCTTCTAGAGGGCATTGTGTTATCCTTGCCTTCCCCCTGCATACAAAAGGCTTCAATAAAGGATGGTTTAACTAAACTTTTTGCTTCTGTACCTCTTTTATAATTAACCAGGATACTTGCAAATCCAGGAACCCCTTAGGCCACCAACTCCAGGAAGTCAGCGAGTTCTTCCTATGTTGACACATGGAGAAACTGAGGCCCAGAAGGAGAGTGCAGTAAAATAGGACTCTGCTACAAAGTTAGGGGCACCACCTCCGTATGAGACCACCCTCGCTTCTGACACCAACTGCAAATTTGCAGAATCTCCAGAACACCCTCCAGCTGGATCATTTGCTAGAAAGAGCCACAGAGAGAGAACGGAGCAGAGGATTTGAACAGAGAAGAAGTGAGAGATGATGAAGCCCCAGATTGCAAGGGTGGCGGGGAGAGAAGCTACCAGATAATGTTCTGGTTCCTCTAAGGTCTAGACACACTGTCTGCAGTTGGCTTCCTTTAAATTCCCTTGTGTTCTTCCAGCAAGCAGGTTTAACTTGAGCCAGTTTGACTGAGTTTCGACAACTCACAACTCAACCATCCATTCCTAAGCTACCTCTTATAATCGTCAGGATGAATCAACCACAGGGTGGTTCCTGTGACTGAGGCTGAGCAAGAGAATGGGGAGAGACATGGCTTGCGGGGGATGGGTATTACCCTTCAGATCACTTACTGGGGGAGCTCCTGGTCTTGCATGAACCAGCAAACAGAGAAGAGGCAATGGCCTATGATGTGGTCAAAGAACAAGAATAAATGATAGCCCCTGTTGGCTCCCAAATCCTAACAATATCCAGCTCACCCTGAATGGTGCCTCTATGGGGAAAAAAATCCCTCTTGTAGAATTTAGACATTAAGAATAGAGACCATCCTAACAAGTTGCCTGGGCAACAGAGCGAGACTCCAGCCCCAAAAAAATAAAAACTAAAAAATAAAATAAAAACTGGTACTGGATTTTGCAAGAAATAGCAAGTCACCCTGAAGTTATAATTGTGTGGTATTTACAAAAAAGAGAATTTTCGATTATATTATTATTCTTTGTAAAGTGTGTGGTACATATCCTTTATAATCAGTACAATTACAAAATTTATTGTAAACATATGTGTTTATACACAGACATACATTTTTCCCTTTGGAGAGCCAGTTGTTAAACATTTGTCGGCACATCACAGTGTAGTCGTGTTCAGATCCCAGCTGTCACTACTTGTGTGACCTCAGACAAGTCATTTCCCTCTTTGAATGTCAATTTTCTCTTTTTTAACATGGGAGCAGTAATAGCTACCTGAGGGAATCTTTTGGCTGGAGCTCATGAAGATGAGACAGGAAGCACAGAGCTGAGCATCTGTATCACGGCTGGCCAGGCACAGTGGCTCACGCCTGTAACCCCAACACTTCAGGCCAAAGCAGGCGGATCACTTGAGCCCAGGAGTTCCAGACCAGCCTGGGCAACATGGTGAAGCCGTGTCTCTACAGAAATAAAAAAATAAAAAACACAAAAAGCAGTCAGGATTGGTGGCGCACACTTGTAGTCCCAGCTACTCAGGAGGCTGAGGCAGGAGGATCGAGGCTGGGCCTGGGAGGTCGAGGCTGCAGGGAGTCATGATCATGCCAATGAACTCTAGCCTGGGCAGTAAGAGCAAGACCCTGTCTCAAAGTAAAATAAAATAAAAACATATACATCATGGCCACCATCAACATTCTGACCATTTCCACCTGCTGGAGACAGGGTTGTTTTCTCTGTCCTCTGCAACCACAGTGATGTGACACTTCCTGTAGGACCCACCCTCTCCCATCCTCACAGTCTTTTTTCCCCCTTGCACCTCCCTTTGTCAAGCAACAGAGGTAGGGGGGTCATTTAGTAGGCATTACTCTGAAGTCCCTGCACCTGGGGTTAGGGGAGAGGAAATGCTCCCCTAGTGATCCGCTCGATCGTATGTACCTTAGAAGAGCATGCATGAGCCTCCCCAGGGCACAGAGCGGGAGCTTGTTCATCATACGCTCCACATGTGCCCTGCACTGGGCTGGCTTGTTAGTTTGTTAGGGTGCTGTAACTCATTACCACAAACCAAGTGACTTCAAACCACAGAAATGGACTGTCTCACAGTACTGGAGGCCAGAAGTCTGAAATTAAAGCATCGGCAGGGTTGGCTCCTTTTGGAGGCTCTGGGGGAGACTCCCTTCCACGCCTCTCTCCTAGCTCCCGGTGGCGGCTGCCACCCTTAACATTCCTTGGTGTTAAGGATGTAATTTTGTCCTCCCCACAGCCTCCATTCCTACATTGAAGTCCTAACCCTCAGCCCCTCGGAACATGTCCTTATTTGGATACTGGATCATGGCAGATGTAATTATTTAAGTTAAGATGAGGTCATACTGGACTAGGGTGGACCCATAGTCCAACATGACTGGTGTCCTTACGAAAAAGGGAAATTTGGACGCAGACGCACACACGGGAAGAACACCATGTGATGAGGGAGGCAGAGGTGGCAGTGATGCTTCCACAAGCCAAGGAACGCCACAGACTGTCAGCAAATCACCAAAGATTGTCATTGTCAGGCACCAGAAGCAGTCAAGCACAGTGGCTCATGCTTGTAATCTCAGCACTTTGGGAGGCTGAGGTAGGAGGATTGCTTGAGCCCAGGAGTTTGAGGCCAACCTGGGCAACATAGCAAGATCCCATCCTTACAAAATATTAAAAAGTAAGCAGGGTGTGGTGGTGCACACCTATGGTCCCAGCTACTTGGGAGGCTGAGGCAGCAGGATCAC